TATATATATATATATATATATATAAAATAACTAAATAAAACAATTATCAGTTGTTAATTCCCAACCTGAAGTAAGACCTTTCTGCACATAGGGAAATGAAAACGTAAACCCAAGCGGTAACGTCTTTTCTTTTAGTCCATTTTTCTCCATAAATTCAGCTAAACGTTCTGCAACATAGTCAAATAACTGAAAATCAAAAATAAAACGTCAGCATAACATAAACAATGATTAACACAATTATAAGATATATGCATTGGGAGCATATTCTATCATTACATCGGTTCTAATAATTTGGGTTCTGTGTGTCTGTTAGTCCGTCTGGAGCCATTTCTCGGACATAATTTGACTGATCATTCTTAGACCATGGACGACGACTCACACATGCACGTTTGTTTTTTATAAAACATGGCTGTATTTATTAAAGTCCTGTAATTTTTTTTGTTATGGGTAATAAAAAATATTTATCAAAAAAAAAAAAAAAACATGGCTGACTGACGGCCATTTTGGTCCTCAAAATTGCTGAGTTCTGATAATTAGTGTGATTCAAAGGCGGCACACATTTTTGCATGGGGACGTGATTTGCTCATCAACCTTGCGCTTTCGGTGCGACCTTACTAAGGGGTCCGCGCGCTTCTCCTTAAAAATTTGGAAATCTAGACCCTCTATTTCATGCATTTTGAGGGGCAAATTTTGCTGGCACAAAAGGTTTCAGCTAGATTTTGTAGGGGGGACGCCCCCAACATCTTTTTCGAGAGGGCGACCGTCCCACCCTCTGCCCCCCCCCCCCGTGCCGCCAACACTGCGATTGTATTCAAACTATGTATCATGATGACGCATAGGAAGACGTTATATTTTTGAGATTTGTTTTTTTATCTGTTTGTATGTGTGATAGATAATCATAACATATTGTCAGTCTATGCACTTCACATCGTATTGAAATTGTCTTAAAGATGGGACATGTACGTGATAGACGTGTATATTTACTTTGTACTGAATATTGAGATGGTCTACGAGTGAAAACAATACAATGCGTGTTGCCTATTGTTTCGACTATTATTGTTTGTTGTGGCTCGCTATTGGCTATTGTAACCTATTGATATATATCATGTTCTTGTGTAAATAAAAATAACGATTGAGTAGGCTAGTTATCTTCATATCTACTGACCATTATTTGTTTAGCACTGTGCACTATAGAGTCTCTCGTGAACCGCTCAATCCCATGGATTGCACCAAAGAATCATGGGACACTATTGTTTTATAATGTTTACAATGTTAATCTATCGAGATTAGGCTTAACTGGATCCAGAAACAGTTGTGTCACGTAAATGTAACAACAAACCACAGTCCCTCTATCTATGATAGAGGGACTGTGAACAAACCCTACTGACTCACTTACTTGAATACCAGTTACTTTCTTCAAGTCTTTTATTTCATGTCTGGTTTCAGCAATTTGTTTAACAACTTTGTCACTAATGTGAACGTATAACACACGGAGATTAGTACCACCAATATCCAAGGCCAGAAAATCACCACTCTCTTGAAAAATAAAATATTCACGAGCTGCTGATAGTTTGCTGCAGTGTCTAAGTTCAGATATTATACAATTTTAATACTAATATGACGTTAATAACTGTGCTATTATTGTTTCACATTACCTGTACCATTGGGTGTGAGTCTCACATATGGCGGATACATCTTTCTTTAGCGATAGTATAAATAACTTTAGTGAGACTTTTCAACATCTATATTATCATCTCTACCTGGACCATCGGGTGTGGCTAACATGCATGCCAGACACATCTCAACTTAAAAAATAACATAACTAGTTTTAATGCAACATTTGAACATTTCTATGTTGAACTTCACTCTTACCTGTACCATCAGATGTGGCTGTACATTTTAACTTAGGGTACATATTAACTTAACAGTAGCATATATAATGTTATTATACATCTGTCACCGTAACGCCATAAGTTACAGCGTGCCGTACTTTTGTGGTATTTACGGGGTATTTTCATCCTACCATATTAGAAAATGCAAATTCCAAATATGGAATGATTACGCACGTAAGCGTCCTTTAAAAATAAAAACAAACATGGCTGCCACCAGGGTTTGACCGAACTCTACACAAAGAAGTTCGCTGTTTTTGTTCTAAACATTTTGAATTTCCCATGGTGTATCCTTGTAAGGAAAAGATGTATAATAATAAGGTTATTACGAGAATACCTCAAAGTATGCACTCAGACAGTACGCCGCGCATCGATCTCCGCGCATACTTCAGCTGTACTATCTTCGTGCATATTTTGAAGTGTTCTCGTAATAACCTTATATTATCAAAACATTTCATGGTCCCTATATTCATCCTTACCTGTACCATCAGGTGTAGCTCTCACATATGTCGGATACATCTTAACATCCGCAGTATTATGAGTATCTTTACTGAGACCTTTCATCATCTCCCTATGCATGAGTTCTTTTACATCAATTAACTGGTCTATTCTGTGATGCATACATTTTAACATTGACGTCAGCTACGGATAAATACATATTATTACAGACAAACTGTTATTAATGATTATTGCTGATTTTAATTGTATCTCTTTTTTATTTCCTGCTATTGTTCACACATGTAGCATATTATTCTCTAATATATATTCTATATACGATGGCACATATGATGTTGTGTTTTCTTATTAAAATCGTATGCCAGTATTTCGTGAAGAATAATTAAATGTTTGTTTTACCTCATTTTCCTCTATATTTTCATCTGCATTTCTGTTTGGATCTATAAGTAAGCGTTAAGTAACAAACACCCATAGTATAAGGTAAGCAATATTATATGGCAAACACGGCACAAATAATATCAATAGCATTGTATCCATGGCTATATGTGTAACATGAGAATTTAGGTGACTTGTATGTCCATTTTTGTAGTTTAAATAAAATAAAAAAATCGCGAAACGGAGGTGTTAGCGCGAAATTCGCTGTAACTGCGAAATCACCACGACGGGGTGATTTCGCGTTAACACCTCCATTTCGCGATTTTTTAAAAAAAAATTTAAACTAAAAAAACAAACAAATTAATCGCCCCGACTGCGCCAGTCTACCCTGATGTATCTTCCAAGAAAGTCATACCGTCTCGTGTAAGTGACAACGTTCATAAGAATTGTATTATATTCATATACGGTCATCCGTCTGTTGTTACATTGTAAATGGTAACAACATTTATTATATCCATCTAACTCATATTGACGTCACAAAAACTCATGTCGACGTCTCAAATGCGATTCGTTACCTAAGAGCGCAAGTCATAGGAATGGTGTATTCACTGAAATGAATTGTTATTTCTATTTATAGAAATTGCTTTATTAAGAATAGTCTTTATAATATCTCTTTCAATAGTGCCGTACTAACAGCAAAATTAAATGGACATTGTTGTATCATACAACTGATATATGTGAAGTACCCGAATGCAAAATACAGGAAGAAATGTAGCAACCATACAAACAGATGATATGTATGTATACATCACTATAACAATACAGACATACTAGCCCCGAGATGACAAGTGCATATCCCATATAATTGATCATTTAACGTTAATATAAATAATCATGACACATAAAAACGTGTATAACATACTTGCTTGTCCATGATCATCTACGGTATCTTCATAATTGCTTGTTGTCTTTAACATTAACTGTAGAGGCAAATACGAGCAATAACTGTTAAACAAAGATTTCGCTGAAAATGTTTATTTTATTCATAAATTAACTCATCTTACATCTTATCATCAAATTGTCATAATATTAAAATGTGTAAGTTACTGTATACTTATCCACTACTAAATTGGTCTACATGATAAAACAAGTTACCACGTCTATATGTCGTTGTGTTTAATACTATAATTTGACTTACCTCATTTTCATCGGAATTTATGTCTGAATCTACCAATACAAATCAAATTAACAGAAAACAATATCAAATACGTAATATTAAATAATTGTATATAAGTTTGAAAACACATCGAAATATTATTTCCGGTTAATGAATTTGTAACTTCGCTATATTTTAATTATGCAGCTTTTTACAACTCTAATTCACTGTACTAAATGTCTGCTACTTCAGTTTGTTTTAACTTTTCGATTCACTGACTCTCAACTGATGAAATAATGAAAATAACAAATCTTGAAATGTTTAATAGGGAATCTGACTTCAAGCTGAGCTTATAGTGATGACGCTTGTAAATGATACTGCTAATTTGTGCTTGTCTTTATCATGTTGTACAATCAAATAAATAATCTTTGTTCCACCCTACAACGTGTTTTGTCAATGAAGATAGTTGAGGTATCTACACAATATTACGCAGCAAACGAACAACACACACACACGTGTAACAGCGCTGTGTCTGATAAACCCTAACCCTAGTGTGATATGGATGCTCCGTAATTGTAAGCTGACTCTGCTTTGTAACCACCGTAATTGTAAACAGTTTTATAAATAACGAAATCAGTGCAATACATACTTGCACCTAGTTGTCCAGGGTCACTTATGGTTTTACCATCTTCGCTTCTTGCCTTTGTGCAAGTATTTCCCATGATAAGTATGCAGTTATGTTACGCATATGCAACCCTGTTTTTTATATTATTTTGGTCTGGAACCACGTAAACCTGTAAATACCATAATATATGGCATCAAGTCAAGCAAAGATAATAAGAAATTGAGACCGTATTCAAACAAACACTATGTAGGTCACTATGTTGTGTCTGTAATGGTTACGATATTCGTGATGTAATAATATGTCACACTATGGAAGAACTTATCATGTTTTAAACATTCAATGCATTGTATATTCAGGTTTGAAAATAGTTTCTCAGATCTAGCAAATTAAACCAAAAAACTACAAAAACACAATAATGAATAAATCTGTACGCACCTACTTTAATTCCGTCTTGCCGATCGTGGTCATGTTTTTACTGATAATCACAGGAGTGGCTGACAGTGTTACACAGCAAGACAGTGACGAATAGACAGAGAGTGCCAGTACTTTTATTACAGCATTTTAAAATAACTGGTAATACGACCCCCAGTAACGTCATGTGACCATAGCAACGCTAGCAATGAGTAAAACAGTTTAATACTCAGTTTAAAAACTGTCTTGTTAAATAAAGTCTTAATCTATTCAACAACTGGTCTATATACGAGGTATTCCTAATGTACATTATATGTGACTATAAATATGATTTCCATACATATTTGAAACACCCATGTAAATTAATATAGTAATATAGAGCCCCTATAGACCATGTTTCTGAGTCGTTTTGCATCAGCCCATTTTATTACAATTTTAATGGATCTACAGTGGAATATATAATTATAAATGCCTTGTGGCGGTAGATTCAAATTAATTAAATAAAAAAAAAAGTCCTGCGACATGATAAAATATCTGCAGTCTCGACATTTGATCTCTGATCGGATTATGTACAGGTTAGTTCGGATCCGGGTTAGAGCCAATCATTCCTGAGATATATTCATAGTAGTCAGAATTACATTTGTTGAAAGATGTTAGTCACCTTTGACGTCATCAAATCTGAATTTTCTTTCATTGGCATCGTCTTTGAAGTCGAAACACAAACTTGTGTAATCTGATTGGCTAGCTCAGTTTCAAGCTCAGACAACCAACCCAAAGTATTGCTCGAGGTTCAAGTAAGGTGAACCCCCAAATCATAGAGGAATCCCCTTCACTAGTATATCATATATTATGAATCAAAGTCATAATCAACGAATCAAGTTGTGCCTTCTATGATCATATACCATATTGTTTACTAAGTTATGTTTTGTTCTTCAGCAAATTATGGTGTGGCAAATTACAAGTCTGTTCATTGGCGTGTTTGAATTTCATGTAAATAAACAATGTATTTTACACGCGTTGTATACGTCGCTATGAATCCCATATCGAATAGGGTGCGGTGCGACGACTACCGCCCTTTAAACGTCACGTACAAGAAGAACCTTCCTACTATATCCTAACAGTACGAGTAAATGAAAGTGGATTAAGATTGAAAAACGCGACTCTTATTGTCAGATGACAACATACACATCAGATGAGGAGTAGACACCCTTCTTGTTTCTGGCATCATAGTTATAAACCACAAAGAGCTAAACAGTAACACCTGCAATCCCAATAATTACGCTCAGGGTGGAGATCATTATTATGAAGCAACCGCTGGCAACTACTACTTTTTGAATGAAGGATAAGCCTTTCTTTCAAATACCTTGGAAGCAGTTTTTTTCCTTTGATAAAGATGTAAAGGCACAAGAAAACTTCAGATATAATCAAGATTGCCATGCCATGATATAAATCTGACCAGTTCACAATAAATGATTCTATCTGTTGATGAGGGTACTTTTTCTGGTATTGGCTATGACAAGATCGACCCTGGGGATAAACCTAATAATTCTGAAATTGATCCAGTGGTAAACTGTATTTGTAAGTACATGTATGTAAACATTACATCTTGCTTGTATACATTTCTGATGGAAATTGCAATTCTGTTGTTTAATGAAAATCAATTTCAAATAAAATAATCGGCAGTACAATGAGGGAAAAGTGCTACAATATATTTGATAATACAACAGACTTAAATTCACTTCTACTTGTCTTTATTATAATAAATAAATTTTAGCCAAAAAAACATGCATTAATTGAAATACACCTGTAACTCTAAACCACAAATCTACAACTGTGCATCTACACTTCCTGTGACACATTTATAAAAACAAGTATGTACAAATTTTTTTACAAATCTGATTAAAATCAGATGTAGAGGGCATTGGTTACTGACTATCCAAATTGTTTTCAAGACTCTTGAAAACGATGCTGTCTGAAACACTTGACTTGTCTATAATACAATGATACAAGATAAGATTTAAATTGGTCAAATGTACACTGCTGACTGTACATTCAATATTAGATTTCAAATTACTGTACAGCTGGGTAGTATATAATTAACAGTCCTATTTAATATATATTTGCATTGTACTATTACAAATTGTAAATGTCACATAGATATATGCACTATCATATCTATCAATCTATTGGTATTTTTGACTTGATTTAAAGCAACAATTGTATGTTTTTTTCTCATACATATATTTTCTGTTGCTAGTCCATAAATAGGCACTAGAGTGCATGTTTGTTTTTTAGCTTTGTCAAATTCTATAACAATGACACTTCCTGGCAGTGATTGTTACTTGGCTAATGTTCCTAAAGAAGCACTGAAAGATGACATGAGTATTACATGGTACATGTATGTAGGATAATCTGCATATGTGCAAGTTTGAGGGAAATTGTTGAGAATTTGGCTTCACCCTGAGTAGGTCTATACTGAAATAATCCTACTACAAATTATTGTGAATCAACATGACATTAAAGAAAAATATTGAAAAGCAACAGTCAAATGAAATTCAAACAAAAAAACACAAATGCAAGGCAAAAAAATTACCTACATTGTGAACAGGCTGAAAATCATGGAGTCATGGATATATCAGATTATCCCAAAATATCAGTAAACACAAAGTATTGTAGAGTTGAATTTTGTGTGTCAACCATAATAAATGATTAACTGCAATTCATTTATGTGAAATGATAAAGTTACTTTCACCACTACCAGATTGTTTCCCTGCCAGTGCAAATTCACATTTACTGTATTTTTCACAGATATTTGACAGTAAACTTCGCGGGGATACAAAGATGCTGGATACAGGTTTACTCTATACAGAAGGTTACAAAAGTTACAAATAGTTTTGTATTCAAGTTTTCACAAAGTAGTGACTAGTTTTCAAATTCAGATGTGCAAATAAAACCAAAATACATTTCAACTATACATCAATATTCAATTTTTTCATTCAGTACAATTCTCAGGAAAAAGGAGTGTATAATTATTACTTATACCTTTTTTGATACAAAAATGGTAATGTTCCATAAATACACATAACTATTATTATAAGCATTATTATCCTTATCAAAGTGAGCACTATTTTTTAGCACTTGTAAATACAGAAATATATTTAATAAAATTTATATTAAAACTGATTAGCAATTGCAAACCAAAATACATAAATATCAGATATATAGTACAGAGGGAAAATTATGATTTTCGCATTGTTTGTAAAGGACAGAGGGGATATTATATGCTATTTAATAATTAAAGGCAATTGTGACATTTGCCAAAGTCACTGTGACACACTGTCTTCTTAGACATTATTTCTGTTATTAACACAACTGCAAAAACTCTAATTTAATTAATATGCTGATATTTCCTTGTTTCATATTGTAATCAGCACCTCTAGCATTGTCCAGTAGGTTTGGCTTGGGCTCCTCCTGACAAGTTTGGCTTGTGCTCCTCAGGTCAATTTTGGCTTGGGCTCCTCAGGTCAAGTTTAACTTGGGCTCCTCAGGTCAAGTTTGGTTTACCGGTAGGTTCCTCTGGTCAAGTTTGGATTGGGTTCCTCAGGTCAGGTTTGGTCTAGGTTCCTCTGGTCAAGTTTGCCTTGGGTTCCTCAGGTCAATTTTGGTTTGGGTTCCACAGGTCAAGTTTGGTTTAGGTTCCTCTAATCAAGTTTGGCTTGTACACCTTAGTTAGATTTTGGTTTGGGTTCCTCAGGTCAAGTTTGGCTTGTACTCCTTAGGTAGATTTTGGTTGGTTTCCTCAGGTCAAGTTTGGCTTGGGCTCCTCAGGTCAAGTTTGGCTTGTACTCCTTAGGTAGATTTTGGTTTGGGTTCCTCAGGTCAAGTTTAGTTTAGGTTCCTCAGGTCAAGTTTGGCTTGTACTCCTTAGGTAGATTTTGGTTTGGATTCCTCAGGTCAAGTTTGGCTTGGGTTCCTCAGGTCAAGTTTGGTTTGTACTCCTTAGGTAGATTTTGGTTTGGGTTCCTCAGGTCAAGTTTGGCTTGTACTCCTTAGGTAGATTTTGGTTTGGGTTCCTCAGGTCAAGTTTGGCTTGTACTCCTTAGGTAGATTTTGGTTTGGGTTCCTCAGGTCAAGTTTGGTTTGGGTTCCTCAGGTCAAGTTTGGCTTGTACTCCTTAGGTAGATTTTGGTTTGGGTTCCTCAGGTCAAGTTTGGTTTGGGTTCCTCAGGTCAAGTTTGGCTTGTACTCCTTAGGTAGATTTTGGTTTGGGTTCCTCAGGTCAAGTTTGGCTTGTACTTATTAGGTAGATTTTGGTTTGGGTTCCTCAGGTCAAGTTTGGTTTGGGTTCCTCAGGTCAAGTTTGGCTTGTACTCCTTAGGTAGATTTTGGTTTGGGTTCCTCAGGTCAAGTTTGGTTTGGGTTCCTCAGGTCAAGTTTGGCTTGTACTCCTTAGATAGATTTTGGTTTGCGTTCCTTAGGTCAAGTTTGGTTTGGGTTCCTCAGGTCAAGTTTGGCTTGTACTCCTTAGGTAGATTTTGGTTTGGGTTCCTCTGGCTATTCAGTATAAATTGAATGAACACATTCATTCATTCCCTTATACATTTATAACTATTATAAGCAGAGTTATAGAAATCCATGAAAATGTACATCATATACATCGCTGTGAGCTTTCTGCAATTGTTTGAGTTTTTGTTTCTTTTGTTTGAGTGAGAGGTTCACATCATCTATAATATAGTTCATCAAATCACGTAAAGCATCACGAGTCAAGTTTACTTTTTCCTTTTCATAGTCTATCTTAGATATCATAGTACAGTAGGTTTCTGAAAAGAAAAGAAAAATTGTACTGTAACAACTGCATCAAACTAAAGCTGAACTTACTAACAGAAAGAAAGTAAAGCTGCTTGATTCCCTGGACTGATTGAGATAAAAGTCTACATATACTCATAATCCAAATACCAAAAATGCATGCACAATTGTCCTCTGAGTCAATATAAAGTCATCAATCATATAAATGTCTCATATCACTCTTCTAGTACATTAAATTCAGTTAAATGAGTACGAAGACAATTTTTTTCTTGATCTGTAAATATTAGATTTGATGACATGTCTAATAGTGTAATTCATACAAACTTTTAGTCAGTTTAGTGTAATTCATACAAACTTTTAGTCAGTTTAGTGTAATTCATACAAACTTTTAGTCAGTTTAGTGTAATTCATACAAACTTTTAGTCAGTTTAGTGTAATTCATACAAACTTTTAGTCAGTTTAGTGTAATTCATACAAACTTTTAGTCAGTTTAGTGTAATTCATACAAACTTTTAGTCAGTTTAGTGTAATTCATACAAACTTTTAGTCAGTTTAGTGTAATTCATACAAACTTTTAGTCAGTTTAGTGTAATTCATACAAACTTTTAGTCAGTTTAGTGTAATTCATACAAACTTTTAGTCAGTTTAGTGTAATTCATACAAACTTTTAGTCAGTTTAGTGTAATTCATACAAACTTTTAGTCAGTTTAGTGTAATTCATACAAACTTTTAGTCAGTTTAGTGTAATTCATACAAACTTTTAGTCAGTTTAGTGTAATTCATACAAACTTTTAGTCAGTTTAGTGTAATTCATACAAACTTTTAGTCAGTTTAGTGTAATTCATACAAACTTTTAGTCAGTTTAGTGTAATTCATACAAACTTTTAGTCAGTTTAGTGTAATTCATACAAACTTTTAGTCAGTTTAGTGTAATTCATACAAACTTTTAGTCAGTTTAGTGTAATTCATACAAACTTTTAGTCAGTTTAGTGATACCTACCATTGTTTGGGAGATAATCTTTGCCGTGTCTTGCAGCTGATAATTTCTCTTCCACCTCCTCAGCAATTCTGTCTGGTATTTCAAAAACTTCATTATTTTGATCCATCATGAATATGACAAGTTGTTCCGACTGTCCTTTGCTTAACATAGGATGGTGTATTATGACATTGGTGAATGAACGGCGGACTAGTGTTCTGTTGTCAACCTGATGGAAAGAAAGTTGAATTATGACACCACCAATGGGTTGCCTGAAACGTGGATAGTAGTATACAATACTAGTTTATGTGTTCACTGGGATTTTTTTCATTATATTTTGTTTAATCAATCAATGAATATGCAAAAATAACTATAGAATTCATTGTTTCCTTAACAAAAAAGTTAATTTATACCCAATTGTACCTAATAAATATCATCAAATTGGGTTAATTACACAACCTCAAAGGTAGAAAGGAAGCATCACCAATTTTGGTTTCACTTCAGTTGGCAATGATCTTTTTAGCCCACGTAAGTGTGCCCTGTCCTTTTCTGCACTGAACAATATAAAAATAACTTGACTCACATCTTGATCCAGTCTTACTCCGTGAGATGTAGCTGCATGTGACATAAAGTTTAATAACCTCTTCAGTGAATCTCTGGTTGATCTATTCAATAGTATCATATGTAACTGTACCGCAAACAATGCTTCTTTGCATTTACCATTAGAAAGTAATGTCAATATTGCAGTATATAACTCAAAAAATCCTTTTGGCAGTAGAGGTTCTCTCTGTCCATGGTATAAGTCCTGTACAACTTTAAACAATGCTTTTTTCTTGAGAGTATCCATTTCTTGGATATCAGATGCATCTGATATGTTCCCATCTGATCCAATGAGACTTTCAATAATCCTTAGACTTTCTGGGTGCTGATCCAGGCAGTCTAGTGCAGATACAATCCATCCATCACTGAGAAGTTAACAATAAAAAGAGTTAACCAAGTTTTGATACTGATTTCTAATGTAGATACAATCCATTCACCATTGAGGTGTTAACCAAGTTTTTATATTGAAATGAAATTACTGATGTACAAAGACGATAGGGGACTAATCTTTACATATGCACTAGAAAATAATGACATCAAACACATACATGTACTACAAACAAATACAGTTATATTATGTAATTATTTCTTACCTTGGTGTACTTGTCTGGGCAGGACTATGAGTATTAGCAAAAACATTAGAGATGACAATATTATGGGAGTCTTCCTGTTTATTGTCTGTAATACATTTCAATACATGGTCTAACATTGGCACATCAATTACATGCAAAAGTCTTTCCAATGCTACTTCTCGCCACACATCATCAATATCTGAAAAGAAACAACAATTTCAGGTCAATCATTGCTGTTAGACAAACCAATTCAGGATTATTCACATGTCTATCTGAAGTCATGTAAATTAACCTTTTCACCACCAGTTCCCTCTTTTCATCACAAATTCACAAAATAGTCTTGTTTATAGTGTCACTTTCACTACTATTTACCTCTAGACTGTACAATAGATGTAGATGATGCTGTAGACATATTGCCTTGACTGTCATTACATGTACTGTCCTGTAAGATTCTATGAAATAATTCACCATATGGACTGAATGGCAAAGGATTGCTAATAACACGCTCTGTGTCTGGTGTCTTGGGAACATCTCTGTAAAACAAACCAAATAATAATTACAAGGAGAGACCACACACTGAGCATCACACACAAGTCAAAACAAAAGAAATGAATGAATAAACAGCAAAATATACCTTTACTTTTCATTTATACAGCCATCTCATGTAAAAAAAAGTCTACAATGGGACCAGGATGTTTTTAAAATATGGAATATATTTTAAAATGTATTCACCACTGTGACATGAAAGCACATTGAATGCATTTACAGTAACATAATTTCTAATATCATTTTGTTATTACTATCATCAAAAAAGAGCTCCATGTTTCTAATTGATTAAATTCAATAATGCCATGATGATGCACTTTTAATATGTAGTCAGAAGAGACTTTATTAACTAACTACTTTATTGCATGTAGTTGTACAATCATGGGTTAAATGGTCTTATTTGGTTTGGGGGAGAGGTGATAAATAGACCAACTTTAAATACTTAAATTCAAATGAAATTGTAGAGTTGATGGCACATCATTTCCTTCAGAATAGATGAGAAAATTTTGCAAAAGCACTGAAATCTGAACTGATAAACAGAACCCAACTTAGCAGTAAATTGCAAATGGTAAATATTCAGTAAATTTGAATCTGCAGGTCAAATTTGCAAATCATTTTGAATGAGTACCGTAACTAGAATATCTACATTAAAGCGAACTTAAATGCGGCCTTAAATTATAGTTCTGTATATTCTAAACTGTATTCGAAATAATATTGCAGTGGTTTAATTTTTT